AAGCTGAGCACTGACTGTTGCACCACCAGGGCTCCTTCCCCATTGCAAAGCGAGTAGATTGTTCTCAGTGACGGGGTGGAAGAGACGGCAGTGCACAGTGAGAGAAGCAGGGAAGGGCCTGAGGGGAAGGGAAATGGAGGCAGAGAGTAGGACCCACAGACCACGGCTCCCTCTGCCCCTGCGGCCTCCTGCCCGCCCCTTACCTGACTTCCTGTTTCCTTTGTTCAAGGAGGAGCCGAGGAAGGTGTGCTTCACCTATGACCTGTTCCTGAACCTGGAGGGCAACCCGCCGGTCAACCACCTCCGCTGCGAGAAACTGACCTTCAACAACCCCACCTTCGAGTTCCGGTGCAAGCTGCTGAGGGCAGGCGGGGTGAGTGTGCCCCCTACAGGTGGGCTGTGCCCCCACTTAGATGGACAGACGGACAGACAGATGGCCTCTGGTGTGGCCACTGTGTGGGGAGCTGGCCGGTCCATCCCAGGCCCCGGGCTGTGCGGCGTTGGTGCAGAAGACACCGTGGGGTCTCCTTGGCGGGTCTCTGCGGCAGACAGTTGGGCGTCCGCGACACAGAGGGGCAGGTGGCCCAGGTCGTGCTGGAGAGCTGAGAGGCCCCAGGTGTTCCCAGGCTGCGTGGGGCGGCGGCGGCGTGGATGACTGGTCGGCTGTCACCGCTGTTTCCTGGTCGGCCATGGTTAATTAGCATCTTCCTCCACGGAGGGGCCGGGAAGGAATGGGCGCGGGGCCAGTCTGTCCGCGTGGCTGCTGTTGGAGCCAGCTTTGAACCGGCCTGGCAGGGCTGCCTCTAGGCGCCGTCTCATCCAGGGACGTCAGTGGCCTCTCTGAGGAGTCCCCGAGGAGGCACTGCCTGTGGTTTCTGTGCCCGTGAGGTGGGTCCCACACCCACTCTCAGCTGTGGTGTTGTGTGAGTTGTGCAGCGGGGGTTCCCTGTGTGGCGGCTCTCATGTCTCCTCCTGAGTGGGAGCCTCCCAGCCCTGTGGGCTGAGCCCGGGGCTCTGGTTGGGGACCTGATGGGGCTCCGGGAGAAGGTGGGTCGGAAGGAAGGGTGTCTGGTGCGGCCGGTTGGTCGTGGTGGGTGGGGAGGAGGTGGGGCGCTTGGCTGTGGGCCTGCACTGTTTGTGGGAGGGCAGTGCAGGCTGAGGATTGGTCACGGGACATCCCGAAGCCACCTTTGAGTGACCAGAAGTCACACGGCCTTTACCTAGGTGCTGGCCAGTGCCTGCGATGGAGGAGTCGGGCCAGGGCCGTGTGTGTGTGTGTGTGTGTGTGTGTGTGTGTGTGTGTGTGAGACAGTGAGTTTGTGTGTATATGTATGTGTGTGTACAAGACTGTGTATGAGTGAGTCTGTATGTGTGTATGTTTGTGAGTGTATGTGAATAAATGTGAGTGTGTCATTTTGTGTGAGTGGTGTGTGTATGTGTGAGTCTGGTTGTACGTATACGTGTGAGTGTATGTGTGTCATTGTGTGAGAGCATGTGTGTATCCGTGTCTGTTTATGTATATTGTATGAATGTATGTGTGTGTCCATGTGAGTATTATGTGTACGTGTGTATGTGTATATGTGTGTTTGTGTCTGTGTGTATAGGAGTGTGTGCCCATGTGTATGTGTGAGTGTATATGTGTGTGTGTGTCAGTGTGTGTATGTGTGAGAGGGTATGAGTCTGTGTGGGTATATGTAGCAGCTCGACCTACCACGTGCGTGTGGGGAGTTAGGTTGGGCTTCTTTGGGCTCAGGGAACAGCCCTTTCCCTTCATCTAATATAGTCATGGTCTTTGATAGCTTTTTAATAAACTTGAAGCATGACTTGTTGGTTGTAGATAGTTTGGTTCGTCTCTGCAGGGCCCTCATGAAAGGGGCGTTTGTGGTTGACTCCAGTGTGGTGGCTGACGGAGTGGGGTGCTGACACGGTGGGCAGGCAGGACCGGGCCACTGCCTGAAGTTCCTGAAGACCCGAGGGTGGGCAGGGGGCAGGTCCCAGCGCTCTCCCCAGCTCGGCTCTGCTGCCTTCTTTGCGTGGCCAAGTATTTCTCACAGTATTGTCACGAGATGTTTCTGGGTGTTCCCCAAAGGTTCCAGAGTCAGCTTTCTTTGAGAAACACTTGGGTAGTCAGTGAGCCCCGGGGCACAGAGGTGGTCTCTCCTGAGAGGGAGGCTCTGTGTGCATCACGGAAACATAAAACCAGGGGTGGGGAGGGGGCCAGGGGTGGGAGGGAAGAGGTCCGCTGCCATTTGTGAAGGGGCTGGCCAGTGAGGGCGCAAGGCAGTGTGCCAGCCACCCTGCAGCGCCCGCCGTGCCCCGGAGAGGCCCACGGGCCGCCCGCCCCTCAGCAGCCTCCGCCTTGGCTGTTCTCTGAGCGGCCAGCCCGGACGAGCGGCTTTGCCAGTCGGGACTTTGCCTGCCCCGATGGCGAAGCAGCGCTGTTGGTCTTAGGAGCAGCCAGAGACCCTTAGGGGACGGAGACTTGGGGTGCAGTACCCCTCGGGGGTCCTGGGGAGGAGGGACTGTGGTGCCTGCGGCGGCCATCCTAGAATTCCGGCGTCCTCGGTGGGGCTGGCGGTGGTGTCTGGAGGCGGACGGCCCAGACCCCGCCGTGCTGGTTTCAGCACCAGAAGAGCTGAGGGGACGGGGGAATCCGGAAGTCGATAGACCTGCTCTGTCTACTCCCCTGAGTTCCGTGATCCCTCACTCGAGGCCGCAGAAGCGTCGTCCAGAAAGACCAGGAGAGGGAACGCCCACTTTTCTAGAAGGCCCGAGGCCGTCCTGGGGCAGATGGCGGAGTAGCCCCTCGGACAGAATGGTCTCCAGGCCTCTGCTCAGGGAGCAGTCAAGCCACCCAGAACAGCGGCTGCTTTGGCGGGTGAGCTTCTCTGCTTCCGCCCGCCGAGCCTGGTCCTGGCTGAGGTACTTGCTCGAGGTAGACGTGGCTGCGTTTATTTACTTCTTTTAAGGGGTCTTTGTTACAAAGAAGAGCGAGTGTGATCCTGAGGTGGTGTCAGCCGAGGACGTCAATCGGAAGGCAGAAAACGGAAGGAGAGTGAGGAGGGAGGTGGAGGGAGAACGAGCGGACGCCTCATCGGCATCTGTCTGCGGGCCGCGGGCTTGGCTTCCCACCTGGCTCTTCCTTCACACCGCGCGCCGTCTGCAGCCACAAACATGGGCGTTTTCAGGGAACTCGAGGTCCTCGGGCCTGGCTGGGCTAAACGCAGGCTGGTGCCACGGGTCAGGAGTCCGTGGTCTGCAGGCTCTGCTGAGTAGCTCCGTCTCCCGCTCTCGGCCTCTGAGTCGTGGGCCGAGAGGCTGTGGCCCTTTCAGCCAGGTGACCTCATGGCCGTCCTTGCCACGATCTCTCCCCCGATGGCTTCTTAGAGGAAAGGCTTGGCTCATCAGGTCTCTCAGGTGCTCAGGGTTATTCATGGTGCTTGTTTTACCAAGCTAAAGATGCTTTTAAGAGCACGTTGTGTGCTATCCCGTCGCCACGTGGAAGGTGCTTTCTGCGTTACAGACCAGTGGTGTTAACACGGAGTCCCTGGGTGGTGCAAGCAGTTATCATGCTCCCCTGCTGACCCCAAGGTTAGAGGTTCCAGTCCACCCAGAGGTGCCTAGGAAGAAAGGCCTGGCAGTCTACTTCTGAAAACCCAGCATTGAAAACCCTATGGCGTCGGCGTTGACTTGATGGCAGTTGGTTTTTCGTATTCACGCAGTGTTGGTGTTCTGAGAGCTTGGCCTGAGCTTTCTCTCCTGCCTTCAGCACGTGTCATGGCGAGCCTCGCTGGAGTTGGGGTCTCCCGGGAGCCCCTCCTGGGAGGCCCCAGGCCCCGTCTCATCCTGTGGTCTTCTGACCAGGAGCAGATGCTCCCTCCCCACAGGCTCGCTCTTGCCTAGCAGCTCTTGCTGAGATCAGCCGAGACGGGTGGCCCCCATCCCAGACGCGATTCTCCGCCAGCCCCAGGCCTGCTCTCTGCTCATGCACTCGGTCCCCTGCTTCACCCCTCTGAAAACGGCGGGTCTCGCCCCAGGCGCATGGGAAGCGGTGAGGCTGTTTCCACCCGAGTTCATCCAAGGCTGCTCACTCTGCATCTGCCTGTCTTGTGAGCGGCTGGCTGGCTTCTTGGCCTCCCACACCGCCTCTGGTCTTGCTAAACCCAAGTGCTGAGGTCAGGCTTTTGCCACACGTACCTTCTGGTGCTGTGGGCACTGTCAGCGGCACGTCTTCCGGCCCTCTGTCTGCCGGGCTGTGCGTCCCGGGTCCGAGGGGCCCACCCCGACCCAGCCATCCTGGGACCCGCTTCTCTTCGCTTCGCCCCAAGCACATAGCACCCCCAGGCACATGTCCAGCTCGCCCTAACAGGAGATGCCTTCGACTCTCCCAGGAAAATGGCGCTCAAGCTCGCAGTCCCCTCCCCACCCCCAGAAGGAAGCTCCAAAAGCCTCAGCCTCACTCACGCAGAGCCCGCTTCTTCCTTCCGCCAGTTCCCGGCTCCTCCCTGCCTTTGATAACGTCTGTCTTTTCTTTATCACTAGGTGATGGTAATGCCCGAAGGAGCAGAAACGGTGTCCAGGCCCAGCCCCGACTACCCCATGTTACCCACAATTCCACTCTCTGCCTTCTCTGACCCCAAGAAGACCAAACCGTCCCACGGCACCAAGGTTAGTGAGGCGGAAGGCCCAGTCTGAGGGAGCCCGGCCGTGGCGGGTCCGGGCCTTGGCACCCCTGCAGAGCTGGGCCTTCTGAAGGGCCTGGAACTCGCTCCCTTGGCATCTTCTTTCTTGAACTCTCTGCTCCGCCTTGCTGCCTGCTCGCTGCCCCATCCTTAGGAGAGCCGGCCCCTCCTGCGTTTCAGGGGAAGAGCCAAGTGACGGCGGCGGGCTCTCTGCTCCACTCTTCTTGAGGCCAGAGACCCGACCCCGTCCTCTCCTGTCCTGCTGAGCCCGTCCTGGGCCTCACACCCTTCAGCCCCAAGAGACTCTCTGGCCAGGGGCTGCTGGACACAGCGTGCTCCTCATCGCCAAGACCGCCTGCCTCTCGGGGATTGGTGCGCGGCCCAGCGTGCCCTGTCTGCCCAGCCCGGCTGCTTCTGCGCTCGGCTCTTCCAGGCTTTGCTTCTTTGGCAGCAGCTTGTGCAGAGAAGGCTGACGTGGGTCAGGGGCCGGGGGAGCAGAAGTGAGGGGCGTGAGCAATTCCCCTGAAGAAGGAACAGCGCATCGTCTTGTCTCGGCCCAGCTGAGCAGATGGCACCCCTCTCTCTGAGCGGGCCCTGAGCGGCTGTCTGAGCACGAGCCGAGGCCTCTGATGGTGTCACGACACACATACACACGTGAGCGTATGCTCCCCATCTTCTGCGGCATCCCCCAGCGCCTGAGTGCCATCCGGCTGTTGGGCAGCTGCTCATCTTCCTGTCACCAACCCTACACATTTCTCCACTTCTCATCCTGACGTTTTCCTTGCTTCACCTGCCTGTCAGGTGTGGGGCCCTGGGGCAGCCCAGGTGCGGGAATTAGTGACCTCGGGCATCCTTGAGCCTTACTTACCAGCATCATGGGAGGAGAACCACCCATTCATCTCGGCGTGGTCTTTCTGGCTCTTTCCATAGGCCGGCAGGCCTCTGAAATCCTGACATGTCCGATCTCAGCCCTCCAGATGGGTGGTGCCACAGTCTTGACGTGCAGTGTCGCCCGGGGGTCTCCCCACGCCGGCCCCCGGCCTGTCTCCCGAGCCCTGCAGAGGTTAAGTGGAGGAAGGTTCTCTCGGTAGTGGTCTTGGCCGCGTCTCTGTTAGCCACCACGTTTTCTGGAAATGCCACGCGGAATAGGAAGAGTGAGTGGAGTTGCTGTTTCTTCTCTTCGTGCCACTTGAAGTTGCCTGACCCCAGCGAAGAGGTGCTCTCTGGGTGACAAAGTTCCCGCAGCTGCCAGGACCGTGGTGTCACTGGGCCTGCGCCTGGCCTCTCCTGCAGAGTCTCGGAGACCCAGGGAGCCCCCAGCCGGATTGCTGTCTGCCAGCTCAGGGAACCTGTGGGCAGAGCCTCCTTCCTGCTCCTTGTGGAGCGCCCGCCAGCCTCCCCGGCACCTGACTTAGGGGACATTGACAGAGGCTTCCTGGGCAGCACCGGCGAGTTCTCCCAGGAGTGCCCACCAGCCTCCCCGGCACCTGACTTACGGGGTGTCCACGGAGGCTTCCCAGGCAGCACCAGCGAGTTCTCCCTCAGTTCTCCCAGGAGCGCCCGCCAGCCTCCCCAGCACCTGACTTAGGGGGTGTCCACGGAGGTTTTCTGGGCAGCACTGGCGAGTTCTCCCCCAGTTCTCCCAGGAGCGCCCGCCAGCCTCCCCAGCACCTGACTTAGGGGGTGTCCACGGAGGTTTTCTGGGCAGCACTGGCGAGTTCTCCCCCAGTTCTCCCAGGAGCGCCCGCCAGCCTCCCCAGCACCTGACTTAGGGGGTGTCCACGGAGGTTTTCTGGGCAGCACTGGCGAGTTCTCCCCCAGTTCTCCCAGGAGCGCCCGCCAGCCTCCCCAGCACCTGACTTAGGGGGTGTCCACGGAGGTTTTCTGGGCAGCACTGGCGAGTTCTCCCCCAGTTCTCCCAGGAGCACCCGCCAGCCTCCCAGGCACCTGATTTAGGGGGCGACTGCAGAGGCTTCCCAGGCGGCACCGGTGAATTCTCCCCCAGTTCTCCCAGGAGCATGCACCACCACACTGCAAACGGGTCTGGCGTCCACGCCCTCAGCCTCGCTGCCTCCTGCTGGGAGTGGACGGGCCTGCGACCTGCTGCCTGCTCGCATTGAGGGCCTCTGTCCAGGCAGTGCTGTTCCCACCCCTAGTGGGTCTCTGTTGTTGGGGCCAAAGAGTCTCATTGGTCCCTTCAGGCAGAGGGGCCTCAACAGGGCTCCGTGTAGGCGGAGAGGCCGTGAGGAGCCGGGCCTGGCCTCGGCCCGTGGAACCCCCAGGCCAGGGAACCTGGGAGTGTCCGGCTGTTGCCGCCGTTGGTGAATAGCTGCAGGCTCTGGTCCCTGGTGGTTCTGTCCCCACCCTCGGCCCCTGCCGGAGGGGGCTGTGGAGGCTGGGTGGGATCTGGAGCCGCCTCTGAGAGGGTGCGCGGGTCTGCCTGCCTTGCCTGGGTTCATGCTGAGGGCTCGATGGCGCCTGTCGGCTCCCCCACTACAGGGCACAACTGGCCTGCAGCTTCAGGGCACTCGGCCTTCCCTGCCTGATGCCAGGCGCTTGGGCTGCTGGTCTTTCTTTGAAGCTGAGTTCTTCATCTCTTCCTCATTTGGGGTCATGGATAACGTTGAGAATGTGTCAACCATGGAGCTTCTTCCATGGGAAAGTCCACGTGTTGCTCAGAGTTTAGCACATGACTTCGGGGCTCCCATGGGCCCAGGCAGCTGTGCAGACCCCCAGGCTAAGAACTGTTGGAGTTGGGAACACCCAGGGGCTTGGAGGAGCGGCTGGCCCACGGCCAGGCCAGCATGGGGGCTTGAGTAGAGGCCCTGGCTTGCCCTCCGCTTGCTCGTAAGCCCCACGGCTGTGAGGCCGGAGGGTGCACTGCCAGGGCTCTGCAGACACCGGGAGGAGAGGCCAGTGCTCACCTTGGCAGTGGACATTGCGTGGTGCCTCTGCCTCCTCCCCCTCTGTGGGCGCAGCCTGCTGGACATGGAGCCCAGGACCGGCCACTGTCCCTCGCCAGCCCCTAAACCTGCGTATGGTCTTGCACGGGCTCCTTGGCCAAGACCGGGGATGCTGAGAGCTTGTGGCAGTCGGGGCAGCTGCTCGTCTTCCTGACCAACCCTGCACATGTCTCCACTTCTCATCCTGACATCTTCCTTGCTTCACTTGCCTGTTGGGAGTGGGGACCTGGGGCCGCCCTGTTAGGTGTGAACCTGGTGACTAAGAGCTGGTGGCTGGGCCAAGGTGGGCAACCGTTCTCCAGGAAATGCAGGCAGCACCAAGGCCCCGTGCCTCTGCTCTGGGTCTCGGACATCGGCGTGGGCTTGGGGATGGTCCAGCGAGAAGACGGCAGACTGAGCCGTGTGGACGTGGCTGAAGTGCTCCCTCCGCCCTGCGGCTCTTTGCGGGAAGAGCTGTGGCGGGACCCTCAGGCTCTGAGAGCAGGCGGCAGAGGGGCCCTGCCCTGGGGTCTCAGTGGCCGCCCCATGCCCGCTCACACCCCCGTCCTTCCCCTCGGCTCTGAGGGTCTGAGAACATCCACCTCCCTCCCCGAGAGGCTCTGATGGCTCAGTGGATCCCAGGCTCGTGCAGGTCGCCCTCAGGCCTGCTTGCCCACGAGGCTTGGGGAGCGTCCCCTGAGAGCCCTTGGGCCTGGCTGTGCACCTGGCCAGCCACTGCACCCTTCAGGGGGAGACGGAGCCACGGCAGCTGACGCCAGTGTCACGTGTCCCACACTCCTGGGCACGTGGGACTGGAGGTGTCGATAGGGAAGAGGCCCAAAGTGGTGTCCGCTGTGGCTCCCGCCTGTGAGGATGCAGCTACGGGACAGATGCGCACAAGTATTGGGGTGGGGGGGCAGCACCATTGCTGTGCCTCAGCAGCCACTTCACGGAGCACCTGCCGCCCGCCAGGACACGTCCTTGGGGAGGTAGTCTTCCCCTCTGTCAGAGGAGGCACAGGTGCAGAGGGCCGGAGCGGGAGCCCGTGCCCCTCGCCCACACCACAGACACCCCCTGGCCAGGCACAGCCTCCTGCAGCCTCTGTCCCACCTCTGAGTTCTGGGCCCTTGGAATTTCCTGGTGGAGCCCTGAGGGTTGTATGGTTGTGGGAAGGCCCCTCAGGTGGCTTTGGTGGCAATCGGTTCAGGCGCTGTGTGTGCTTGTGGTCCTGGGCACCCAGCGGGCACTCCACCAGTGCTGACTGCGTGGATCCCATGAAGGCCCTGAGGACGGGGCTGGGGGAGACGGAGAAGAGGGGGCTGGGCAGGCGCACGCAGGTGTGTGTCGGGACGGAGAGGTGGCTGGAAAGGAGGCGGAGCTGTCCAGTGCCAGCGGAGCCTGTGGGGCGCTGTGGGGTGCGGGCGCAGATCAGCGCAGCACCCCCTGCTCCTGATTTACCTATGCTCTCCCTTCATCCCTCAGGGAATGTCAGTTCAGAGGGGACTCTTAGCCTGCAGTCGCCTGGGACCTGCTGACTTGTCCCGTAGTGTAGAGGGACGGCTCCGTTTAAACTCTCACCTGCCCCTTACTTTTTCCCTTTATGGAAGTTTCTCTGAGGCTGGATCAGGTGGATTATGCTTTGTAGGGGTCGGGGGAGGTGGAGCAGGGCGGCCCGCCATGCCGTCTGACCATGTGTACCCCCCTCTGCCCTTGGCCTTGCAGGACGCCAACAAGGAGAGCAGCAAGACTTCCAAGCCACACAAGGTGACCAAGGAGCACCGTGAGCGGCCACGCAAGGACTCGGAGAGCAAGAGCACCTCCAAGGAGCCGGAGCGTGAGCCGTCCAAGGCCTCCAAGGACACCACCCGCAAGCTGGGCGAGGGCCGGCCACCCAAGGAGGAGAAGGCGCCACCGCCCAAGGCGGCCTTCAAGGAGCCCAAGATGGCCCTGAAGGAGACCAAGCTGGAGAGCCTGTCCCCCAAGGGGGGCCCCCCAGCCCCGCCCCCGTCCAAGTCTTCCAGCAAGCGGCCGGCCGCCACGGACTCGCCCAAGCCCAGTGCCAAGAAGCAGAAGAAGAGCAGCTCCAAGGGGCCCCGCAGTGCCCCTGGCACCTCGCCCCGCACCTCGTCTTCCTCCCTGTCGGACAAAAAGCCAGCCAAGGACAAGAGCAGCACCAAAGGGGAGAAGCTCAAGGCAGAGAGCGAGCCCAAGGAGGCCAAGAAACCCGTGGAGGTGGAGGAGTCCAACTCGGAGGACGAGGCCTCCTTCAAGTCAGAGGTGAGCCGGCCCTGCCCTGTCCCTGCTCTCCGCCCTCCTTCTGTTCTCTGCCTCTTCCCCTCCTCTGCCTCCTCCCTGCCCTCCTTCTCCTCTGCCTTCTCCCCTTCTCTGCCTCCTCTCTTCCTCTGCCTCCTCCCTGCCCTCCTTCTCCTCTGCCTCCTCCCCTCCTCTGCCTCTTC